ATTTTGGTTATGTTTGCAAACAGGAAGATTTTTTAGAAAATTCGCCACTCTTATCTAAGGCTCTCAAAAACCGCCTATCCTTGCAAAAATATTCTGAGCGTGAAGAAAAAGGAATCTTAATTCGCTCTTTCAGTAGTTTTAACCAAGTATTTGAGTGTATAAAATTTTTTTAAGTGTGTTTTTTGATTTTAGGGACTCATGCAATAATGATAAGAAATTTACAATGACGCATTGGACAGGGAAAAAATTTTTCGTATTTCTACCAATTTGGAACCTTTTCTAGAACCCCCAAGTGGACTCCTAAACTGGTCTACTGGAAGATGTGACGTTTTCGCGTCAAATTTTGTTCAGCGATGAGACACATTTCTGTCTCAATGGGTATGTAAACAAGCAAAATTGTCACAGAGAATAAATAGCTGCCATTTCATCCAGAAGAAATATCCAGACAAAAAAATAGACCTACGGTTAAATAAATCAAATATTTAAAAATTTGCGGGGTTTTAATCTTTTCAGGCCCAATGTTGCCTATAGGTAACATTTACATATGTGCTTCTAAGTCCCGTTATATCAATTTTTTTGACGCGCCTTTGTTTTTGCATTATGTAGTCGGGTGTATTGTGTAAGCTTACATTGAATTGTTCATAAGCTATGCAAGGGTTCATTTAGTAGGCGTTTTTCGTAGAATGAAATTGTCAAGATCGCGAAAAAAGGATTGTAAAACCAAGGGAACAACAAAATAAAGGTAATATAGTTATTGGAAAAAAAACAAATCATTGGAAAAGTGGTTAGTTTATTTAAAATAATTTTGTAAAAGTCTATAGGCAACATTTTGGAACTAACAAACCAGGACACTAAGGAGTTTGAAATTTTTATCACTTCATACTTGAGTTAAGACTAAGATATACATACATATCTGTCCTAAAGAATAAACGAAAACTTTTGTCGATTTTGATCTGTAAAAACCCAATTTTTAATCAAATCAAAAACTGGTAAGCTATTGGAGAACTACATATGTATATACAGAACATGCAAAAAAAAAATTTGATAGTGATCGGATCATTTGAAGATATTTAAAAGTGTAGTTTTGAGAAAAATATTAGATATTAATTTAAAATTTTATTATGTTAGTTTTAAAGGTATGGAACCTATCGGAATATAAAAAAACGATATTTTTTTTTTAATTTTATTAATTTGTTTTAAACAAGTACGAAATAAAAAAATATATACTACTGTATTAAATTGAAAGGAGAATTTTGCCCATTTCGTCTCCTTAAAAGTAATCCACTCCCGCTGCCATACACTTATGCCAATAAATTTTCCAGTCATCATAGCACTTGGAAAAATCCTCCGTCGTGATGGCCATCAGATCCTTCTTCGATTCAGCTTTTATATCCGCAATTGAGTCAAAACAGTGTCCTCGGAGTGGTAATGTGAATTTGCTGAATAGCCMGAAGTTACACGAAGGTCAGCGAATGCGGTCGTTGCGGCATGATATTAGTTGTGAATGTGGCGAAATGRTCACGAATAAACAATGCAGTAAGAGATGGTGCATAATCGCATGTTCAATAAACTCAGACATAGTAAAAATCTAAGAATTCACTTTTAGCTTGTAGCTTCAAAAAACGACGCGTATCTCAAATACGAATGAATATTTTGGAGCAAAATTTAGCACAGATGTCACCAACCGTACTACCACCTTAAATTACCGATTCGAAAAACACGCAAAGTAGTATAAATTAAAAATTCACCTTTCAATTAGATCACAGTAGTATATGTATAAAATCATAATTGCGAAATGTCTTGTATAGAAAATCAATTAGAATAACAATCAGTCTAGGCCAGAGCTCATTCTTTATACAGCACCTAATTTAGGATTTATTAGTTCTTATTACTTCAATGGAAATAATTATATCATAAAATACTTATTAATTATGGAAGTATATATATACATACACACTTACAAATATACATACTACACAATATAAACTAAAAGTTATTATAATTAGAAATAATCTCCACTGGCTCTTTCTCACAAGAGCGTGCAAATTAACACAAATTGTATAATTATCGCAAAATTTGCGCTAATTACTGTGGTTTTAAGTATACTTTGTGACTTCACTGCTGCGTTCGGAATTTCAATGCAGCAATGACTCAGACAGCAGGCAATATTTTACGTGTACAGAATTCCAGAGCAAATTGTGATTTTTCATTGAATTCTTAGGTTTTTTCCTTTGATAGTAATTTATCAAGCTTAGTACACATAATTATTTTCTTAAGAAAAAAAAAAAAACAAATATGTAATGAGGTTGAAACTCAATTCTATTTCCTACATTTTAAAGACCGCATTGACGACGCTGGGAATTTTCGCAAAACTAATAACATATATTATTTTATATTTCATTATTTGTAGAAAAACTAAAACTATGCAAATTTTTTTTGTGAAAAATTTCAGACTGTTCAAGAGAGATTTATAATAATAGTAATAATAATATCCAACGATTACCCTCCTACCGCCCAACCGACGCGAGGGGCGTAATCCGCGAACGGAATTAGCCGAGTCATAAAAGGCAAGAGAGTTTTAAGCGTTGCGATCTTAAGCTGCTCAGCTGCAGAAACAAAAATTTCAACAGCCAAAAAAAAAGAGTAGAGTAGATAAAATCATTTTTTTAATAGTAAAAAGCGAGTCTCTCAATTGTGCTGGAATGAGAATTGAAATCATGACATATACGGCGGAATGGTTCGTTTAATTCAAAATTTATTTTAGAAAAGTTTAAAAGTAAGGGTCTAAACTGCTTGGTAGAGCGAGCGGGAACGTTAAAATTAATATTAGATACGAAAGATGTACTACAGACTGGCCCATTCATAAGTTTTACACGAAATATTATACCAAGCATCTCTCTACGACTAGCGAGTGTCGAGGGATTTATAAGTTTTAAACGGTTAGTGTAAGGGGAAGATTTAAACTGGAATCCCAATGCACATGATTTAAGGCAAAAAGTAAAAATTGTTTTTGAACGGACTCTAACTTATCCGAATGGATTTGGTAACTAGGGTTCCAACCCACAGAAGCATACATTAGAGTATAGGCCTCACCAGAGATGTAAAAAGAATTTTTGTGGTAAAGGGATCTCTAAATCCTTTAGACCAACTTTTAACAAAACTATGAACGCCTTTAGCTTTAAAAACCGTGGAATATRCGTGAAGATTAAAATTGAGTTTGGGGATCAACAAAACTGCATACTCGCTCCAACCTAAAGTTTTGTATTGCATATGAAGTAAGGTCACCAGCTCTACGTGAAAAGCACATCGTCTTACATTTTTTAAGGTTCAATGGCATGTCATTTCTATCACACCAAGAAACTAGGATGTTTTTACATCGTATGTACATACGCATGTTGAAAATCGTTGGAACACCAGACAGTGCGTATACGTAACTTTACTGGGACTCATGTACAGCAGCGGCCATGAAAATAGCTAGAAGCTATAGCAGTTTTGTATAAATATGTAAAGAGCATATTTATCAACTTAAAAAGTACAAATTTTCAATTTAAAATTATCTGAGAAATCAATGTTAGTAAAATATGATACTTTTGAAAATAACGGCAAACTGCAGCTGTAATAAAATTGCGATGATATATTCATAWCAAAATAAATTGCTGGATTTTACTGTTCGATAACACTGAGAACTAATAATTAGTAATTATCCATTTTTGCAAATAAAATTCTAATTTTTACTAAGTTACGATAAATATTTTTAATAAAATTAATATTTTTATATTGTATTTGATTTTATTTATACATGTTTTTTA